ATTTTGAAAAGTTCTTCACATTCATCAACAATTTGTCCAGTGGCTGGTTTTGGCTAAGAAGGTGGGACAAGGCATGGGGAGTGAGCAACCCCTAAGAAAGGCTAGCTGCAGGGGGTGACTGGGATATGTCCCTGTTCACTGCCTCTCCACCAGGACATGTTCCAGGTTACGGGGCAAAACATCTGGGAATGGTGGTCCTCGGCTGATGACCCTGCAACTAGCATAATAGGCGCCGGTGGAGGTGCAGCAGACCTATAGCCTAGCAGGTGAGAACATCTACCTGTTCAAACCATTTAACAAATAGACTTATGTTGTATGTTAAATTGCAAAAAAAAAAAAAAAAAAAAAAATCCAATAAAAGGTCAAATCTCAAAGAAATAAGCAAACAGCTTCATTCATTAATTGCTTCAGCTGTACTTTTTACATGCCTATTTTCAATCAATCTATAGTATAATGTGAACAGGAGCACATGAAAGAAGGCAAAATGTATTATTCTTGTTTTAAATGTACAGACCTGAATACATGCGACCAGAATGATGTTCCTAGGGTATGGGCGCCATCTTTGTTTTGGTCTACATACATTTTTCTCCTTCCTCCTTGCTTTGTTGGCATGTAGTTACTTTAAGACTGGTTTGTGCTCAAGTCCTCTTTTTTTCTGTGCAGCTCCGTTTTTAAAAGTTATTAGGGGGTTCATGTTTTCTATGATTGACACTTGATACAGCCTATGGGCATACGAAGATTGCATAGCTCACCCGGGGGATACGCTGTCTGAGTCGAGCGTCAGCACAGTAACTCTTGGCGACTCCCCCGCCAAATGCGCACAATGCTACTGCACAAGTGGTGGAGTGCGTACATCGCTACCGTGCAATGTTGGTTTAAGGAAGTGGAGAAAAAACGCTGAATTACTGAAAGCTTTTCGGCTTCAAATTCGTATTCTGGCGGAAGGCAGAACCAAGTTGTCCTTAGTATATACAGTCTATGGTCCTACCAGTAAGGCAAAAGTAAACTGGGAACCAACTGGCAAGCTTATGTTTACCTGTTAAAAATCCAAACCACAGTGGAAAGTACATCTACAGTGGTGTGAAAAAGTGTTTGCCCTCTTCCTGATTTCTTTTTTTTTTTGCACGTTTTAGATTATTAAACAAATTTTAATATTAGTATACATAACTTTACAGTGGTTTATCACACCTGAATTCAATTTTTCTTGCCACACCCAGGCCTGATTACTGCCACACCTGTTTCCAATCAAGATATCACTTAAATTGGACCTGCCTGACAAAGTGAAGTAGACCAAAATATCCTTAAAAGCTACATATCATGCTGGGATCGAAAGAAATTCAGGAGAAAATGACAAATTAATGAATTGAGATCTATTAGTCTGGAAAAAGTTATAAAGCCATTTCGAAAGCTTTGGGACTCCAGTGAACCACAGTGAGAGCCATTATCCACAAACGGCCAAAACATGGAACAGTGGTAAACCTTCCCAGGAGTGGCCGGCCAACCAAAATTCCCCCAAGAGCGCAGCAACGACCTATCTAAGAGGTCAAAAAAGACCCCACAACAGCATCTAAAGAACTGCAAACCACTGCTGAACTAAAAGAACATTAAGGCTCATTTCAATTTTGCCAGAAAACATCTTGATGATCTCCAAGACCTTTGGGAAAATACTCTGTGGTCTGACAAAAGTTGAACGAGTTGGAAGATGTGTCTTTCATTTCATCTGGTATACAAGTAATGCCACGTTTCAGAAAGAAAACATTATACCAACAGTAAAATATGGTGGTGGTAGTGTGATGGTCTGGGGCTGTTTTGCTGCTTCAGGACTTGGAAGACTTGCTGTGATAAATAGAACCATGAATTCTGCTGTCTACCAAAAAATCCTGAAGGAGAATGTCTGGCCATCTGCTTGTGACCTCAAGCTGAAATGAACTTGGGCTCTGCAACAGGACAATGATCCAAAACACAACAGCAAGTCCACCTCCCGAATGCCTGAAGAAAACCAAAATGAAGACTTTGGGATGGCCTAGTCAGAGTCCTGACCTGAATCCCATTGACATGCTGTGGCATGACCTTAAAGAGATTTTCTGGCATAAATTTAAGTTATGGTCAAACACACCATAACACCAAGTTAGACACCCCCTTGAGAGATTAATGTTGCCGACTGGTTGCTCCTCGAGTTATACCAACTTTAGTAACGACCACAGGATAGCAATACACTGTGGTTTACGTCTCCACACACAAACCTCAATCAAAAACCACTCTATAGCCACAAATAATGCTCAGAACAGCACCTAACTTCATCAACAGTACATATAGGGTCCCAGCCATAGCACTCACCACCAAACATCTTTTTAGCTTTGCCTGGTTTTGTTTAGCAAAGAGACTCACCCACTCTCCTCCAGCAGCCGCTTGTTTGCAGGAGAGCCCTGACGAGTCGGTCACTGAGTGCAGCGGAGTTTTGCAGCTCAATGAAGAACATTTATGATCATTACTGAATGGAACTGCAATCAGAGTTCTTTTGTATTGTGTATGTGCATTGCAGCTGTGATAGGTCTTCTGCCTTAGCGTCTTGGTCTGATTGCATTTCCATAAAGTAATAATCATAAATTTTCCGCTGCACTCGGTGATTGATTATGGTGTGTTTGACCCATAGCCTGTATATACTATGGACAACTTGGTTCCGCCTACCGCTTGTATACGGATTTGAAGCCAAATAGCTCTCGGTATTTACAGGATTTTTCTTCATTTCCTGAAACCAACGCTGCACAGTAGCAATGCACGCATTTGGCCGTGTAGTTGCTGAGAGTTGCTGAGAGTTGCTGTGATGACGCTCGGCTCAAACAGCGTATCCCCCGGGAGAGCTACGCAATCCCTGAACGCCCATAGGCTGTATCAGGTGTCAATCATAGAAAACATGAACCTTCTTATAACTTTTAAAAACGGAGCTTCACAGGTAAAAGATGACCTGAGCACAAACCAGTCTTACTGTAACTACATGTCAACATTACAAGCAGGGGGGAGAAAAATGTATGTTCTGTGTAATAAATTTCTAAAGTTTGTCCACAACTCCATAAGCTTTGCTGGCGGAGGCGGGATTTATGACCTATACTGCAGCCCATCACCAGAGGGTGCTGTTTTTGGAGTGGCTTCACCTAGCGAGGAGGCAGACGGTGTCCATTCTATATACAGTCTATGCTTTGACCATAATTTAAAATTATGCCCCTTTAAAAAGACAGTTCATGTTCAAAAAACCTCCAATATGGCTGAATTACAACAATTCCGCAAAGATGAGTAGGCCAAAATTCCTCCACAGCGCTGAAAGAGACTCACTGCAAGTTATCGCAAATGCTTGATTTCAGTTGTTGCTACTCAGGGTGGCCCAACTAGTTATAAGGTTTAGGGGGCAATCACTTTTTCACACCACCGTATGTTTGTTTACTGGGAGTAACTGAGATGAAGTAAAGTGAGTATATAAAGTTTAAATACTCTCTGTTCTAAGTGAATAAACTGAATAAATGATGTACCATAAACTTGTTGAACAAAACTTGAGTACCTTTCTTTTGACTGTGTGATTGGTGTGGGCTGTCTGCCTCTTTTTAATGACTTAATTAGTGATTTATGGTGCTTGCCTTATGATCTGCCTTCCAGCATTATTAGATTAGATTAGAAATCAAATCTTGTTCCTTCATATGACCTACAAAAGCAAACAAGACTGCCAGTGAGGAGCTGATGGTTTATTACTTCATGGTTATTTTTAATGCCTGTAAATGTTGTGGGAGGGTAGGTGCCAAGTTAACAGAACGCTGCAGAAACAGTTTTTATTTATGTTTTTAACACATTTAAAGACTCACAGTAAGTGATATGTTCAATAATTTTTCTGAACTCAAAAATTCTATCTATCTATGCATGCGGAGGTCAAGGTCAGCAGAGGTCATGAGAGGCACAACTTTGAGCACAGGGGGTGCCAGGATCAACACTAACTAATAGTTTTTGCGGGCTTTGACATTGATTGATTTTGTGCGCTCTGACTCAGAGTGGTTTGAAGCACAACACTTATAATAATTAATCTTGTGTTTATTCAGTCTTATACTTATTTGATTTCACTTTAAAAGACCTAATTTTACGCATCTGTTGCAGTTTGATTTAATGCTTTTGACTAGTATGTTTTTAACCAGTGAAAATAAACATCCAAATAACATGGAAAACACATTCAGTGTTGTTTTTACTAACAGGTTGAAGTGTATCTTTCCATCAAAGATCACTGTGACAGCGTGCTATTTCTCTCTTTTATTTCCGGTCCATGTAGACAGTTTAGCTGTTTTGTCCTTTACCACCTATAACACTCTCACACCCTGCTTTTATTTTCATCTCACTGCCTGCCTCCTCCTGTCTCCTCCTGTCTCTTCATGTACTGGCAGTTTTCTCTCTCACTTGATTGAAAAGTGCACACTGCTAGTCAGAGAGAAAAAATGCCCAGCATCACAGTTAGGTTCACACAGTGTCAGTGTTTTATCCAGCATGACAAAGTGTACTTATTATTCCCTTTACATCTGTACCTCTCTGCGTTGCATGTGACATTAATGTGTCTGAATGACTATCCTCCGTGTGACTTTGCTCTGCCCTGTATGACCACTCTTCTTCGCTAACTCCTCTGCTCCCTTTTATTTTACTTTCCTGTCTTAAGTTTTTGTCCTCATCCGTCCTCTACATCTCCCTCTGCCTTTTACTCCTCCATCTCCACTTCTGCTTCACTTCCCACGGCAGGCAATCCCCCTCCCTCCCCAAACCAAGCCACCACTACTGTTTTACCCCTGTCTCTCAGACAGCCACCCATTTTGCATCCATCCATCCATCACTCCGTTTGTGTTTAGGAGAGGTAGAAATATGAAAGCTCTGATGGACAAGAGAGAGTGAAGGTGGCAGTGTGAGAGAAAGAGGAGGTGGAGGAAGAAGAAGAAGAGGAGGAGGAGGAGGAGGAGGAGGGGGGAGGCAACGTTTTCAGTGAGAGACTTTGCTGTGGGGAGAGAGCAAGCAAGGAGAGCGTCGTTTCTCCCTCCTCTCATTCTCCTCTCTCTCTCTCTCTCTCTCTCTCTCTCTCTCTCTCTCCCTCTGTGCGAGCATGTGTGTTGGTGAGTGCGCCTCCCGTCTCTCCCGGCTCCGCTGTTGTTCGCCGCCGCCACAGATGAGCTGGGAAGAGGAGGGAAAGCGGATGTATCTGGCCAGAGGAAAACAGGAGGAGTTTGGATCGGCATGCGAGATTAACCAGCGGCTCTGATCATCAACCACTCTCTGTTTCTCTCTCTCTCCCTCTCTCTTTCACACATACACTCACCAAACACGCACACACATCCAAACACACACGTGCGCTCTAAGACTCACACACAGTCGCTGGCTGGATGTCTTCTCGCTAGGCTGATCGAGAGAGGTACTTAGGCTTGTCATTAGTTGTGTGCACGGGGAAATCCTGAGAAGCCTCATCGCGCGTGTGCGTGCGTGCGTGTTTTTGTGCATGCACACTCATGCATGAAAGGGATGTTGCGTGAAAGTGTGTGTGCTTGTATGTGTGTGTGATGGAATGGAGATGAGCCGAAACATGAAACACACAGAGGCAGCTTTGATTGGCTTGCGCTTTAAGTGACTCTCACCTCTCACTGTGGGTGTCACACAGGACTTGCCCCTGGGATTTCTATCAGTGAAATCGAGCAGTCAGAGAGGGCGACAGAGGATAGAGTGTGGGGTGGAGGGTGTGCAGTTTGGGGCTTTTGGAGGAGCGTGTTTGTTGGTGTTGTAATAGGAGCCACAGGCAGGCTGGCAGCCACAGTGACTGTGCTGAGGGAGTCATTGAGAGTAGAGATGGAGAGGAAAGGGATGCCCCAAGGGAGTATCTTTCTCCTCCTGACTCTAACTCTCTGTAGTAGTTATTTGTGTTTTCTACTTCTTTGCCTCTTCCTGTCTTCTCTCTTTTCTTTCTCGGATGTTGCTTGTCAGTAAATTGATTGTTTTTATGCTTTTTCTGTTGTTTCTTTATTTGCTCATTTAAGCTCCTCTGCTTCTCAGTTTTTTAAATTTTTTATTTTCTTAGCTCTTCCTCTCTTCTGCTTTGTAAATATGTTGTTATAGTAATAAATCTACAGACAATTCCTTTCTGTCCCTGCAGGTGTGAGTGCACCAGGGGCTCCCTGGCTGAGGGGCTGGAGAGCTGATGATGGATCTGAAGGAGAGCTGTGGCAGTCAGGGGAGCCAAGAGAGCTCCAGCCTACACCCGACCTCCTGGCAAGCCTTTACTCACACCAGCACGCTGCATGGCCTGCGCTTTGTCTTCCCGTATGGTCAGCCCAGCGCACGCCGCTTGCTTTGGGCTCTGGCCCTGCTGGCCTGCATAGGACTGCTAGCTCTGGAGAGTGCAGAGCGTTTGGCCTACTTCCTCTCCTACCCTCACGTGACCAGCGTGGATGCCGTGGTTTCAAGCAGCCTCGTCTTCCCCGCGGTGACCATATGTAACCTCAACACTTATCGTTTCAGCCGACTCACACGCAATGACCTGTACCACGCGGGAGAGCTCCTAGCCCTGCTGGATGTGCACCTTACAATCCCTCAGCCGCACCTGGCAGAGCCTGACGTGCTGGCTTTCCTGGAGGAGAAATCCAACTTCACCGCCTACAAGCCCAAGGCGTTCAGCATGAAGGAGTTCATCGAGAGAGTCGGCCACGACCTCAAAGAGATGATGCTTTACTGCCGCTACCAAGGCCAGGAGTGCAGCCCCAGCGACTTCAAAACCGTGAGTCCACTCATGTCTTCTCTTAAATGTCAGCTCTGCTTTTGGATCAGTTGGGGTCAAAGCCTTTTTTGCAGCCTCGAAGCTCACAGAGGAGTTCATCTGTGAGGTGTTTGGGGTTGCGTGTAGTCAGTCTTGTGAGGTTTTCCAGAGATGGATGCTTTTTTTCCCCTCTGCCAGTAAAATGACTTGATGTATGCTGATAGCTGCTCTTTCCCTCCCACACTGCTGCTCTGACAGTTTCCTGCTGGATCTCTCCTCGGATCTCTCCTGTTTGGCTGCACAGGTTGACTCTAAAGCTTTGGTCTGCTGCTTAAGTCTCTGCTGTTACCTTGTGGTTTTCTTCAGCCTATTCATAACAGCATTGTGCTTAAAGACAGGTACATTATTGCAACAGGTTTGCTTTATTTTAGTCACTGAAGGAAAGCTATTGTTTTGTTGAGTACCTCTGTGAAGTTCCTTGAAATCTCTCTGACAGTGTCTTTATTTCTCCAGCTTGAGTTTCTTTTCTTTCTTTTTTTTCCAGTGAATTCTAGGGATGTTGGTGTACCTGTTGGTTTGGTTATAAAAGCAGAAAATACAGCCAGGATGTGTATTCTCTTTTGGATGGTTGCAGGCTAGTGTTAATTTCTCTCTTAATTTGCTGTGCTGTTGGATGAAGCAGCATGATGCTAGATTGTTGTTCCTTCTCAAAATTGCGCTCATGAAACTAAAGGATGAGACCCGAGGCAATTATTATCATGTTTTTGAAATGTAGTCTGCAATATTGACTTGATGGAACCAGAATGCTAATTATTAAAGACTTTAATGTTTCTGCAAATTCTCAAGTTTATTTATTTATTTATTTATTTTGGCTGATCAAAGCGAGCAATTTCTGGCACAAGTTGATTTTGACACCACAACACAATTCTGAACACCCACTTGTTGCATCCTCTGACTCGCTCAGACTGCTTGTTAATTAGGTCTGTCAGTGTGTAGCTGAGGAGCACATTGCACACAGTATGTGAATGCTGGAAATATTAAAGCATTCAGAAAACAAATCGTTGGTGACCTTGTGGACGAAGTCCTGACACTTTTTTCTTCAGTGACATAAAGGATGAAAAATGACTTTTTAGATCCTCCAAGATGCCTCGGAAAAGTGTTTTGAAGGATTCTCATTTGCAGACATTTTTAACCTTGCAACCGTAAATTATAGCTTTTCTGCAGAGCACTTTGAAATGCATGCTGTTCTTACAGAGTTTAAGATGTATTTATTCATCGACTCTTATGCGTGAAAACATTGTTGGCAGACTTGTGCTTTGCATTAGCCTGCATTTGTTTTATTGTTTAGCATCATTATTGCCTGGTAATGCAGTTTAAGTGCAGATTTAATTCTAGCGTTGCTGCATGCATATAATGTAAATACCATTAAGGCCTGAATTTGATGGCATTTGACTGGGTGCAGATCCTGAAAAATACATTATTGAATGTAAATGGTATTTGCTTTCAACATGAACAAGCTAGAAAAGTTATAAATACCCTAATTTCACACATCTGTAATCAGCACCTTTTTATTGGCTGAGAGAACAGACACACTGGCTGAAATGAGCATGGCTGACACATCAGATGAACAGATGCTGGTTACTTACTTTTCACACTTTGTTCTTCTTGAGCTCCGTTGATTAGAATACTGGCAGTCCACACTTAGTCAAGCTGATAAGCCAAGTATGTTGATATAGATCCTTTAAAACTCTAACTAGGAGATATGTGTGACAGAGTGAGTTTGATTCACATTTCTGGTGTTTTTGAGTTCTTAACTTTTACCCAAACTTCCGTAAGTCATAACTGTCAGACTATGTCATTTTCAGGACCTGACTCCCTGTGCCCCTCAGTGACGAGGTATAATTAGACTTCTAGTTATAGATCAGTACTTCTTATTGTAGTGAATGTGGTGTATCTGGATCAGGGGTTTTTTACAGTCAGTCTTTTGTCTGCTGTGTAGAGACATCAGCTTAAAGAGCAGCAGCCAAACGTGTTTTATTTGCCTGTTACAAAGTTAAGGATTTAATAAGCTGCTGCTGCAGCTGATGTAAACTTCAACCAGTGTTAGTCATTTGAGCAGTAAAAGCTGCAGTCTTTGCCATTTAGAGAGTGAAGTTTGTTATTTTTACCTGTATATATTTCCAAGGCATTCTGCTTCTCAAAGAAAATGAATACAAACGTCTCTGTAGGAGGTTTGTCTATGTCAGATAGGGCAACAACTAAGCTTATTCCCTCTAACAATCTCCGACTGATTCTCTCCTTGCAAATAAAAAAGAAACTGAGTACTTATGTAAGAAATATCAAATTGAGGTGATATAGGCCAACCATGAGCCAACCAAGAAGTGTGTTTGCACAAGAGAGACCATTAAAAAATGACAAAGTTGGAGTCCAGAGTTAATACTTTTGCCTGAAAAATGACAATAACATGGTAAAACCAGTCATTTTTCGGTTGATTGGACTAAACTGCTCTTTGACTTACTTTTTAATCTCCCGTGTCAGAGCTCAGTAAATGCAGATTATTAGTGGAGTTGGCACCAGAGCTCAAAATGAACCTGCTTTGGCAATGCAACTAAGTACTAACGGTGACAGCATTCAATGAAGTTTGATGTTACTTTCAGGAGATTATCCAACTCTCATAACTTTTGAAGATTTGGTGTTAAAAGTTCATGTAATGGCAGCAGCCTCACTTTCTATTTAAAGGTATAACACAGATTCAGCATATTCAGCTTTATTCTTCCTAGCAGTTGACCTTAGTGCTTACATTTATTCATGTAACACCAACAGCTCTGTGAAGCTGCACCTGCACTTATCATTTTCCTGAGAGTACGCTTTGTTGTCGTCGACTGAGCACATCATAGACTATCCATCAGCCGGGTAGTTAAAGATATTAAAGCTTCAGCATGTGTTACTGTGGACTGAAATCTTGATGTTTCATGCTGAGAGAAACTCAATGTACTGGTCTTATTAGATAAAACAACATGCCTTCTGATGGATGTCCCCTCCTGTTGATTTGATTCCTATCACAGTGAGACCCTGCAGAGTTACAAGTGAACTCTCTTCCATGCTCCTGCCTGCCAGGGAAATGTGAGATTGTTGTAATTTCATCCCGTTGAATCTTCAGGGAGTGAACTTAAAGCACAGCTTCATCACCACCCTAATATGCGGCCCATCAAATGTTTGATTCTCCTTAGTGACTGTCTTACATGTTGTGCGACACATCTTTGACCTCCAGCTGGGTTCAAAGATAATCATGCTGACAGAGAGCCTACTAGAAGGCACTGTCATCCTCTTTGCCCTCTGCCTGTTGCTGCTGAGCTCCTCCTGACTTCCTCTGACTCCTCTCTGTCGTTTTGCTCCATCTCTGCTCTCTCTTCCGGTGCTCTGCGACACACCTTCATCTCTCCAGCGCCCTCTGGGAAGACAGACAGGAAAAGAAATAACGCTGGTCCCCTAAAAATAGAAGAGAAAACACGCATGCATGAATGCTCACAAACACACACGTGTGCACTAAGAAAACAGACAAACCATGCTTTACCCATACATGAATGGGTTCACATACACAGAGGGACAACATTAGCGCAGCACTCCAGGGACCAGAGTCAGCATTTGACTGACATTGTGATGAATGACCGTAGGGAGGATTGTGGGGACTGGGAAGTCAGTGTGATGTGACTGATGGAACTGGAGCAGAGAGCTGTACCAAAAGGAAAACAGCCTCAGCGTGCACGTTTCCACCTATGTGCATGCGTTTCCTGTCACCTTATATAGACTTGGCATGTTTTGAACATTTTAAAGACTTCTCGCTAATGAATGTTCATTCTGAGCACATTTGCAGCCCACTTGACAGGATCCTTTCTAAATAGGCACCATGGCACTCTGGTTTTTTTTCCAAAGATGCTAAAAAAGGAGGACAAATTTTGAGCGAAACGCGGCATCCTTTTAGTCAGGCAGAGCAGGTGAATGATACAAAACCCTTTTTCACCCTGTGCAGAGGCTCTTGTGGAGATTTATTCATGCAGAGACAGTGAAGGGATCAGTTACACTCTACCCCAGTTAAGAGACATGTCCTTGGGAGATTTTCTGAAAGTTTAGCAGTGAAAGGGAAAAAAAAAATCACATTTGGTTTCATTTTGGTTTGCAGTGAAAGATAATTGTAATTATTCATAAAACTGATAATTATTTCCAGAGTGTCAGAATGATGGAGATCAGTGTTTACTAAAGCACAGGATGACTTCCTCTAGTATCTGTTTGTGCATGACAAAAAATAAAGAGTTTTTACTTAATTCTGAAATTGTTTCCTAACACCTACAATTACACCTGTGATGAAAGGTGTGATTGTAGAAAAGGAATCTGAGCTCAATCTCTGTTGACTGTTATACTTAATCTAAATGTGTTTCCTTCTCTTTGAACTTGCTGTGGTTTTGTACTTTAATCATCAATAGTCTTCAATATTTCCCTAATTTCCTTGAAGCTTGGTTGCCATAAATTGACCAATGAGTATAATTTGACATGTTTTGAATCCAGTACCTGATTCTAATAATAATAATAATAATGAACTTCATTTGTATAGCGACTTTCTGGAAAAGTTGTCCCAAAGTGCTTCACAGTCATTAAATTTAAAAGGGTGAGACAACAAAGCGTAAACATCAACAAAAAGTACACTAGCAGCCAAAGTCCTGGTCATACAAAAGCAAGTGTAAACAAATGGGTTTTCAACTGCTTTTTCAAAGCATCCACAGTGTCCACAGTCCTTGGTTCTTGAGGGAAAGAGTTCCATAGTTTCAGAGCAAAAAACTCAAAAGCCCGGTCTGGTCAGGGGGAAAACCAGCAAACCCTGATCAGAGTATCTTAGAGTCCTGCTGGCGCTATAAGGCTTCAGCAGGACTCTTTTATACGCTGGAGCTTGTCCATGCAAAGCTCTGAACACAAGAACAAGTAATTAAAATTGGATTCTGAATTGAATGGGGAGTCAGTGTAAAGACCTGAGGATGGGTGTGACGTGGGACCGTTTGGGTGATCTTGTCAGGAGCTTAACTGCTGCATTTTGAACCACTTGCAGGCAGTTCAAAGAAGAGGTATCCAAACAAGTTAACAAAGAACTGCAATAGTCCAGACAAAATGAGATAAGGGCATGAACAATCATTTCAAGCTCATTCCTAGACACTACGGGTCTGAGCTTGGATATATTTCTCAGATGATAAAAAGATGTGGATTCAAGAAAAACTTTGACTTCCACTTTGACTTCCACTTAAGGTGGAAGCGTATTTTTTTTTAAAATAACACGTTTTCCTGGGCGAGCAGCTCTAAATTTTCTGACTTTCTTTTGGTCAGTACAAATTAGAAATACCTTTAAACGCTCTAACGTGTATGTCTTGAAAAGCACATCTCTTTCTGGGATTTTCGCCTACAGGTATTGACTGTTTGCCTTGAAATATGACCACCTCTTCCAACATCATAGAAATTTAATAAAGGTTGAAAGAGCAAAGGCTAAATGTATATTAAAAGAGACTGACTTTCTTTTTGGTACTCATCCATCATCATCTATTAAACATGTACCATGGTATGAGAGGGTCTGTGTGTCTTATCAATTCAACAGCATATATACTGTATGTTCCTGGATTAACCCTTTCATGATGCTCCATGCTGCCCAACCCTTTGATGGTCTTGTGGAGTCCAAAGGGTCTTGGATACATGCACTCTCCTGGCCTTAGATTTGTCCATTTTAGCTTAGCCCTTTGTGATTACACACATGATTAAATGCTGATTGATCACACTGACTAGCCTCATCAGTGTCTGTCAGAGTGAATCAGCTCACTGGGCCCGGCTTGCACTCTCTGCATGCTTCATATATATATATAAACACCCCTGGAGCAAAGCAGGCCAGGGAGAGGACCCTATCACAGTCTAATGTGAAACCTGATAGCAGCCAGACCCTGAGTTGTGTATCACACAGACACTAATTAGCCACTCTTCTTTTCCTCTGACCAAACCCTTGTAGGAACAGCACTGTTAATGTAATGGTGCTGGCTGTTTACAGCTACAGTAATTAGCCATTACACACAACCTGTGGCCTTAGCACTTCACTGGTTGATTATTGTGGCTCTCTCTCTCTCTCTCTCTCTTTCTGTCTCGCTCTCTCTCTCTCTCTGTCGCTCTCTGGCTAGCCCAGCAGTGCAGGAGGAACATTTTGTTGGTCCATCACCAATCGTTTTGTGCTCTCTAATCTGTCCTCCCCCTCATCCCCTGTCTGCCTCCATCTTTCTAACTACATTTTATCACTTCCAGATTAATTCTTCAGCATTTGAAAGCCCAGTGAATCATAATAAGTTTTAGTGGACTAGTGTATTAATCACAAACGCGGCATTACCATGGCATTTTACATTCCCGGCAGGCATGATGTGTGAGTGTCTTAAAGGGCAATGAAGGCACCACTGCCACCCACAAGCACAAGCCCGTCTCTCCACAGCACCCCTGAGAGGCAGAAACAACCGGTTCTATATAACCAGCTTGGAAGCAAAACTGGAGTGCAGCCACAGACAGACAGCTAAGTGTGGATAGTGCTCGTGTGGTCGACACTGCAGCTGTCTGTAGCTGTGGATTATAGTATTTTGATGAAATAGAGCATTTGTGGTAGACTTAAAGGTACAGGCAGTTTTCCTGTTGGGCGTTTCTTGTCTCCAAACAGCTGATACTAGTTTTAGATGGTGATGAAAGTTATGGTCTTAGTGGTTAATGAACTGATCAGCTTTCGAAAAAAGGGTTATGCAGTTTTTTTCCACTTCAGCTAACAC